CGAATGATGACAGGTCAGGTCTCAGATCCTACTGGATCGATCACTAAGCAACCCCCACCATTGGATACCCAATACCTGATTCTCTCTTACAGTTCCGAATTTGGTGACCCTAGGCCAGGTCAAAAGTCATCAAATTTCACAAAATCCAAAATTCTTACTTGTATACTACTTATAGCTCATAATTTATCATGCCCATAACTGCCAAACCTTACCATTCAGTACGCCATCTACCCTAACTCTCTGTTGAAGCTGCTAGTATGGTGCCATTTATAATTATGTCTTTTCCTTCATGTTTGTTTCTTAGAAAATGTGCAGTTTGGCTAGGCTGGCCTCATGATGCTGGATTTCTCCTTAGCGGAGCTGTTATTCGTGGCGAACGATACCATGCTGATGGGTCCAGAGTCTAGTATAAAATATGGCAGCAACGGCGAACATTTCACGACTAGCCATAGGGTTTCCATGTTAAAATGCCCCTTTTCAGGCCCACAGCTTTCTAAATCTTAAACGGATATACGCACAAAAAAATGGATAGAAATGAAGTTTGAACATTCCTCTTTCAATATCCAGGATCAAAAGCGAACGCCGTGGCACTCCTTTTTCGAGCTATTAGGCGAGGCATAGACCCATGCACGCGCCGCGATGTCCAGGCATAGGATCGGATCCCATTGCCGCCAACTCTTTTCAACAGCGTTGAGATGGAACACAGGGTGAATACGATCACAGACTGGCGATAAAATATAGAGTGCAACGATCTTATGCTCAGTTGTATAACATATATATATATATATATATATATATATATATATATAAATATATATATTGGGAGCTACTACAATAACATGAACATATATTTTCATCTCTATAAAATATAATTGACAGGTGTTATGTAACCTTCAGGCTACAGGCAACAACTAGTGGCAAGGGTGCACAGCTTCATTGTGCCTGACCCATGAAACCTACCGCGACGGTAGCCGTTCAAAGCTGGCCGTCCCCAACGCGGCCAGAGGTAGGGCCAGGCACTGTTTTCAGTGCTTACGTTGTGATACTGGTGGCCACCGTTGTAAAGGGCCGACAGTGCCATCTCAGGAACAGCACAGCAACTGTGGCATGGTGGCACTGTAAGAACTTCTGATTTGGAAGCTGTTGCACTTGAAAGCAGAATAGTTGGCATTATATTAATAAGTGCCATGATGGCGAGCTGGTACTGCAGTTGCCCTGAAATGAAAATGCCTGAAAAAACATCTCTGAATTATTTTGAAGAGCTTAAACACCTGATGCCTATATGGCCTATGTGACCATGCTCACTCTAAGCATTGGCATCACAGTTTTTTGACATCACAAGAATACAAATGTTTTTGTTTTTCACAGACTACAGTGAAAACTGAATCCCAAAAGCTCGTTTTCACATTAGAAATGCTGCGCAGTAAATGTTTGGTAACTGAGTGTAACAAAAAATTTGTTCTATTCCTTACCAAGCCTTAAGAAACCTTACATTTCACTCCATGCAGGTACTGCAGTATGAAAACATAGGGGCAATCATTACCCATTATTGAATGTGATGTAAACATTACATATGATATCTATCCACTTACATCAATATTTCTTTTGCAAACACATGTTACATCTAAATATTTAGGCATGCTAAACATGAAGAATATGGCACATGTGCTGGAACTAGTAAACATGGTTAAGACCTATTGACCAAGGTTAAGACCCATGGACCTATTTTTGGAATCTGATCCTAGTACTCATTTGTCTTGGAGGTTGAACATAGCAAAACTCTCTCATTGGTTGAAATGATTTGCCTCCTTGTCACTGGTTTGTCAAGAGCATGAACATTCCACTCTGGCTCATGTCTTGAGCAAATCTGTGAACATCGCGAGGGAAGTGGTACGGAGATGTGCATCAGGACTACAAAGGACTTATTTGTGCTCATCAGGAACCACCCTGTGGTTGGGTTTCTGGCCACCTTTTGGTATCCAGAGCACAAATATCCAGAGTACTATATTTGGCTGGTCAAAATAAGAAAAAGAAGAATTATTAGGACAAAAACATCAGTACATTGAAACATTAACTATTATATCTAGCAACAATGTCAGTTAAAGCACACACAACATCCATTAATACATTGTATCATCCACCAGAGTCAGAGGAGTGGCTGGCTTTGATCCCTTTGGCCTGCCTCATCTGTCAGGCATCATACTTGTGCTGTCTAAAGAATCAGTTGAGAGTGTTGCCTACCTCTTTTGTTTGGCTGGGACCTCAGGGGTCTCTTGTGTTGTCTGGGAAATGGAAAGTGAAGGGATATGAAGGTTTCACTATTTTCAAAGCCTGTTATCATGTGGAGCACGATTAGCACGACCATGGTGGAGCATCAGTAGCATGATTGTGGTGGAGCATGAGTAGGTCACCATTTTTGACACTTTTTTGTGCCCCCTTTTTTCCTGGTCAGCTCTAAACTTATGTTGCAAAACTGTACCCTTCACTAAGTGACTTGTTGATGACTTTGGGAGAAGCACATAAGATACTTACTATTCACAAGGACAATGTGGAAGAAAAAAATCCCTAGATCCATGCACATGAAGAATGTTTACAGATTGCTAACCAATATATATGCACATGTGTTTCAGGTTATAGAGTCTGAGACTATGTTCTCTTAGTGTGGCATGTTCAGTACTGATGTTTTCTTTCAGTTGAAGTGCTTTTACATGAAGGACTGCATATGAAAAGTGGTGCCTCTATTGAGTATTAACCATTGTACTGTGATCTCTCAAAGATAGCCCTGAATAAAGGTGTGATGACTCACACCACTGGGAAAGTGCTTTAATCTACCTTAAAAAATTGTACTCCCCTGCCAGGAACTTTTTGGGAATTTCCATGGTGCTAATGAGCCCTTTTGCTAGACTTGTGACCAAGTCATGTTTTGCTTTTGATTACTCTTATGGTGAGTTATTAACCTAACTAGCCTTTAGCTAACCTAAAGGACCTAAGTTCAGGTCTAGCCTCCCCTTGATATAGCCTGGTTGACCCAGCAGCATGCATGCATGCATGCATGCATGCACGCACGCACGCACGCACACACGCACGCACGCACGCACGCACAAAGACTTTAATGAGATATACTGTAAGCATTTTTCAGTGGGACCCTAAGCCCACACTACAGCTTTAGCACTCTAAATGTGGTCTGCCCATCTTAGCATATCCAGAACTTTTTAAAATGCTTTTGCACTCATGTGTATAGCATTCCTGTCAATAGTCATAAGCATTCCAAGTGCTATTTTCCTATGCCCTGTATTGATGCTGCTACCATACTGTTAGCCATGACATCCATGCCTGCTTCTTTTTCAAACACAGCCAGTTCTTAATCATCCATAATGCATGACTCCCTCATAAGTGTCTTAAATACTTATGAAGTATTATGCCTCTCCATTATATTGTGCTTGCCCATAGGATAATCTGATTGACTAGCAACATAAACATAATAAGCAATACAGCACCACAAATCTTAATGATCTAGCTGTTACTAATCAGACTATACAACTAGCACACTTACCTGAACCCTATCAATAAATGCAGTCACATTTACACTTATGTACCAATAGCTACATTTGCTGAAAACATACCTAGCCAACTTAGTATACCAGCCTCCCATATACATATGCATCATATGATCTCCATATCAGGTAACCAGGTCTTTGCAGGTCAGATTTTGGTAACAAAACAGGTGTGCTTTGTGGATATATGCTTGTCAAAAATGGTTTGGGATCATGCCACTACTTCTCCCTCCAGTCAAGCCTTCTTGTCCCTCCACAAATCTGGCTGAATCCATAGTGGTAACATTATTCAACATGTGGACTGACATGCTATTTATCTAAATTTACAATAGAAGCTGAATGAAGGAAAAAGTGATGCATGCACAATAACAGAAGTGGCCATCAATCTCAAAGGCAAACAATTGCTGGGGGCATCATGCTCAAGGATTAGTTATAAACTCAGAATTGACAAATAAAAAGCACTATACCCTCTCCACAAGGTGAGATAAAAAACAGTCCCACCTGGATGCAAATGATCATGAAAACCAAACATTAAAAATTATTGCAACACTAGGGCTCTGCCTTTAGAGCCAATGCCTTTAATCTTCCTTCTGAACTAGATGCACAAGTTGACATGCCAAGGACTTCATTTTGTTTAACAGACCAGCATGAGATCCAGAATTGCATTTTCAATCAATGATATCCGTTATTTTGATATCAGGTCGTTTGCCATGAATCGTAACATATTGCGGCAAACATCGCGCACTATAAACATCGGTTGGCCTAAGCTCAAATTAATGGCTTACCTGATATTGATGTGCAAATAGGACAGTTACCCTTGCGTAAGCAAATCCGGTGACAACCGTCTACACACAATCACGCATCATCAACATCATCAACTTATCCTCGACAGCCCCCCACCATCGCAAGATTCCCCATCGTCACTGTTGTCACAGATCAAATTGAGAAACAGTTACTAAAATCACTTAAATTATAGGAGACTCTTTGTCAACATATCTAATCCCGCATGTCTTTGGCCTCACAATGGAGGCCTATAATTTACACGCTTACTTTCCGATCATCCTTATCCAAGCTTGAATTATGTTTTTCAGCATTACTCACGATCGATAACAACGAATCCCTAAAGTACAGATTTTAGTCAGCTCTATAAAGATGCTGCAGGCAATTTCAAAACTGTCGTATACCTTTCATAACCAATTTCTGCCAGTCAAAGTTTCTTAAAATGGAAGTTTTCACGAATTAAACTGTATTTAAATTAGAAATTAGTTTATTTTGAATTTTGAAGAAACCAGAGAGACATCTATTGGCTATCAGGTTGTTGCATCAGCAATCTGTGCGGAATCCAGTATGGCTGCGCCCTAATACGCATGATTCAATATCAACGCACAAGCTACAAAATATTCGTGCGTCTGCTGCAGGCCGATAGCGAACTTCATGACTGGCTCCAGTGTGTTCCCGCTCTGACGTTGGTCGTGGTGCGCTAGCTAGCTGTTTTCCATAGAGTTATCCGTTTCTGCCGTGTTGTGAGCACCCAGTGTTATGCGTTCTTTTTGGCCACCAATGTCGGTTTGGGCCACCCCAATGTTTTTCTCTGCTGGAATGCAGCCGATAAGAAGCACTCAGGGCATGCACATGCACAAAGTATCTGTGTGGACGTCATACGCTGGTCGTACTGACTGGTCGTACTGACTGGTAGTCATGCATGGTGACATGGTGACATGGTGACATAGTGACAGGTGACAGCATGCATACAGTTGTTACCACAGTCAGCTTCTCAGTCATGTCCAAATGCCCCAGTAGCATCTATTCTAGAAGCTGATGTGATAGCCAAAAACCAATTTTAGAGAAAATTATCTGTTGGGCTAGCTATAGTTATTAAATTATCTTTGCCACTATTGTAAACAAGTCTCAGACCTACCTGTCTTGATGGCTCAGTTGATTAGAGTATCTGTCTTCCCATCCATCCACCCTCATAATCGGGCAGGGTCACTTTAGGCAGATGCTATTCATCCTTCAGGTATGGCTTGTCACCAGTGGCAGCAGCCACCCTTAAGTGTGGGTGATATCAGAGAGCAGGACAGACCCTGCTGTCTATTACAACACACAAATTTTCACCACCAGACATGAGCTCTTGATCAGGCAGTGCAGGGTCAGAGCTCACACAATGAGCAATGCTTAGCTTGAGCTCAGATCCTAGAAACCCATTCAAAATGTTTGGATGAAATATAAAAAACTCTGTGCACCTCACCATAAGAGAAGATTGAATGGGAAAGCTATTTGCTATGACTATAGTACTTTTTCACCCTTCCAACACATAATGTAACCATCATTTTTATTCATACACCTTAACTGTGTGACAAATGATCAGTGGTTTGTGTTTTCAGGACTACCCTGGTTTTTATCATGATAGCCAGCAACATTTCAAGGGTATGCAAGATCTTTGGGAATGTGGTATCCTCACTCAGTGGTACCAAAACCTATGGAATTGGAAAAATGCAGATACTTCGTCATTCATCACGAGTAACTCATCCTAACCCATGTGAGTCAGCACAGTTAACATGTATAGGGTTGTTTGCATATTACATTACGTATTTCAGTAATTTTCCAGCCCTCCCTCCCCAGGCTGGTTACACACGTTCATGGTCACACGGTCCTCCATATGCTGGTTACGCTGGACAAAACCTCCCCCTCCAGTAATTTTGTTTTAAGTGTAATGTCAGGAAAGAGCAGAAAAGCATAGTTTGGCACTGATTGAGCTAGATATGCAAAACAAATAAGGGGTGTGCTCCTTGGCACCACAGGAAGCTGCTTTGTCTGGCATCACAGTTTCGATTTGTTTAAAGATTTTAGTATGAATTGTACCCACACCTAAGAATAAGGTCATAGTTCAAAGATTTTCCCCTTCCATGTAATGCTTCTGTTGCACTTTATCAACCCCCTCCCCCCTCCTCCCTGCATGATGTAATTTATGGACATTGCCAATGACACTCAATAAGTTCTATTGATAACATATTTGATCTCATACATCAGGGCTGAGTTAACCATTGCAGTAATGCAGTGGCATATTGCTGTTGAAAATGCTTGTCATGAATGTTGGTGTTCTGAAATCATACAATTTATAACACAATTTGTTAAAGTTCTAAGCATAAAACAGTGTGGGGCTCATCTAAGCAGCCCTTAAGCATATAGTACTGATTTGTTCATTACAAGGGCTCAATATGGGTTGTTATGTTGTTACATATGGGTGAGAAGTATGGATTAAAATACTACACCCTCCATATTGTCTGGCCTGAAATAAGTAAATGCCAAACATGCAATCTGCTGAACTGAATTATATGATGTAATGGTGATTCATGAAAGCATGATGAACATGAACAATACCTATCATCTTGCACAAGCAATAAATGCAATGTCTTCCATCCTGTTGCAATATTTGTGTGCTGTCATGGTTGTACCATGTCCACAGGCAGCTATCAGCATCGTAGCCACACGTGTGGGCAGCTGCGGGCCTTGGATGATGGCAGAACTGTGACGTTATGTGGATGGCTGCAGTTCAAGAGAATGGGCAAGTTCTTTACTCTGAGGGATGGCTATGGAGTCACACAGCTGTTCCTGCCAGAGCAGGTGGGGTTGGGGAGAGAGTGGATTTCCGACCATAGAGCCCGGGCTGTGGAAGGCAAATAAGGGGGTACAGCATAATTAATATGTAGAAGCTAGAAAAAGGCATGCCAGTCGATGTTGCCAGCTAGGCGAGCTCAGTTTTCAACACCGGCCGTGATGATTTAAGGTGTCAAGTTTCTTTGCAGGTTTTGTTATGAAAATCACCGCATCTCTCCTTCGATGGACTGGAGCTGGGTAGTATCCAGCGTCGCAGCACTGTCTGCAGAGTGGGTGTGCATCTGGAAGTGCTCTGTCGGCGCGGTGTGGGTGGAGGCTGACGATCCGGTGCGTCTGCCAGGACCCGGCTCTGGCGCAGAAGGTGGAGGCCCTGCCCCTGGAGTCGGTGCTGCAGGTGACTGGCGCCGTCCGCCGCCGGCCCGACGGGCAACAGAACCAGGTAAGCACACCAGATGGGCAACAGAACCGGGTAAGCACACCAGACGGGCAACAGAACCGGGTAAGCACACCAGACGGGCGACACCGGAAGCACCAGAAACCGGGTAAGCACACCAGACGGGCAACAGAACCGGGTACACACCCGACGGGCAACAGAACCGGGTAAGCACACCAGACGGACAGCAACCAGATCAACACACCCGACGACAGCAAAACCAGGTGAAACACACCGACGGACAGAAAAAAACAGGTGAATACTCCCGACGGACATCAGAACCAGGTAAACACCCGACGGGCAGCAGAACCAGGCAAACATCCGACGGGCAGCAGAACCAGGTAAACACACCGACGGGCAGCAGAATCAGGCAAACATCCGACGGGCAGCAGAACCAGGTAAACACACCCGACGGGCAGCAGAACCAGGCAAACATCCCACGGGCAGCAGAACCGGGTAAACACACCCGACGGCAGCAAACCAGGCAAACATCCGACGGGCAGCAGAACCAGGTAAATACACCTGACAGACAGCACAAGCAGGAAAACACACCAGACGGACAGCGTAATCCTGCTGTCTGTTCGATGTGACAGGAGGACCTCCTGGCCAGTGGCGCGATAACGGCCGCCGGCCTCATGGAAGATGTATCACCTGTGTCCACTGGTGACCTATGTCCGCGCTTAAAGAACTGCGAAGACAGACGTTGTTGCGGTCTACGTCTCTGATCGTGCTATCACAGTCGTCACATTGAAACGGTCCGCTCTTCTAAGTAGCCTCATCGTGATGCGTGTGTCACCAATGACGGCTGATGGGAACTGTCAGACGGATTCGCTGTCACGCATAACAGGCGTGGTTTTGTTACGCCCTTAAAGTGACCCGTATCATCTGCGTCAAAGCGGTCTTGACCCGAATTACATTGTAAATGCGTGCTGTAACCTCCCCTGTCGTTTGCCTGCAGCAAATGACTACTGGTGACGTCGAAGTCGTGGTTCATGACGTCGCCATCCTCAATAAGCCGGATAGGAAGCTGCCCTTCAACATACGATCATTCAATAAGGTGAGCGCCACGGCTCGCTGCACTGTTACTGGAAGTCTGGGTTCGCTGTTTATACGTTGCAATACCATGTGCTGATCAAGGTGTGTCATGCTACCAGTTGCTTTTGATAAGGGGACAACGTATGTTATGCTAGCATGTTGTGCATGTCACGTGACCACTTACAGCCTGATCATACGGTGTCTGTGCTTGTATCTCAACCTGTGATGCGCATATGCACTCCAATCAATGTGTTAATACCGTTGCGACAACGTGAACTTCCCAACCACATGTCTGCTGCGCGGCACGCATCGGCGGTGTCGTCTGACCGGCCGGCTTGTGCTGCGCGTCGTCGCCCAGGCCAAGGAGGCGCTGCGCCTGCAGTACCGCTACCTGGACCTGCGACACCCGGAGCTGCAGCACAACATCCGTCTGCGGTCACAGGTCAGGCTCACTGCGGTCGCCAGCCGATTTAAAAAGTTCTTGATGTTTTGCTTTGCTCACGACCGGAGAAGGTGGGATGGACCAGTTTAGTACCACCTGACGTGGATGCTTGAATTTGTGAATTCAGGAATAAATGCCGATTTGCACTTTGCTTGCCCTATTCGGTCTGCCCTACACCAGACTGTGATTTAATGACGTGGTGGGTCAGTTAATATGCGTGTCAGCTAGCACACAGTTGACACGGCTGACGTGAGAGGAATTTCAGACGCCACTTACATACATAGCAAGGCACACAAGCCTCGACGTAAAACGCATGCCGGTACCCATGACTTCAAGTGGCGTGAAGCGTCTCATCTCAATCGTACATCAATTCCAACATCGAACCTACGTTGGGATTGATGAATCCTATGCTGTGCCACCAGATGGTTATGGACATGCGGGAGTACTTGGCCAGGGACCACGGCTTCATCGACGTGGAAACGCCCACCCTGTTCAAGAGGACGCCCGGGGTAAGCAGAGCCACGTGGTCCGAGCGCAAGGCCGGGGTGCGCCGCGGCGATGTGAGCTCGGTGTGCGCGGTGAGCAGTGAGCAGTCAGCGTGTCTCACACGGGGTATGGGCAAGTTTGTAGATAGACGTGTAGACGTGCCCGGATCTCGCCAACCTCCAGATCCGGTCACTCCCTTTGCCGCCATTGATGTGCTCGCAAAATGTTGTGTCGGCAGGTAAGAGCATGCGTGAACCCGTTTGTGTATTCACCTGTTCCCTTGCACTAATATCGCATCATGTGAAGCAGTAGTTATTTCAATTGGCTGTCCTTCATGCCGAGCCTTACTGTATGGGTGTACAGAAGGTTTATAAAGTGAGGATAAGTTTGTGCGCGTCTTGTCGGGAGCGAGCGGGTGAGCTTTAGACAGAGACTGGGACCCGTCACCCATCAATCGATAGATGATGCTGGTTGTCCTGTTGGTCTTAGGGCGTAAGTCACGTGCACACTAAGGGAGCAGATGCCCAAGTCTATTCGGAGTAAGAGTGCCACAGCTCTGGGCATGCGTACATACACGCCCGTCCTTGTCCCCCCCCCCCTTTGCCTGGCCATGCCAGGGTTACATAAACGCGACGGGTACTGGCGCGTCGCAGGGGGCGCAGGAGTTTGTGGTGCCCACGCGGACTGCAGGGCGCTTCTACAGTCTGGTGCAGTCACCGCAGCAGTTCAAGCAGCTGCTGGTGATGGGCGGCCTGGACCGGTACTTCCAGATAGCGCGTTGCTACAGGGACGAGGGCGCCCGGCCAGACCGACAGCCAGAGTTTACGCAGGTGAGGCGGAGCCCGGGCCAGAGGTAAAAACAGGTGAGGCGGCATCCGGCCGGGCCGGGCTTAAACCAGATGAGGTGAGAACCGGGCGGAAGTTATCGAGGTGAGGTGGGACCTGGGTGGGAATTATCCAGGTGAGGTGGACCTGGGGGGAGGGGGGGGGGGAATTATCGAGATGAGGTGGGACCCAGGCGGGAGTTATCGAGGTGAGATGGACTTGGGGAGGAGGGGGGGAATTCTCGAGATGAGGTGGGACCTTGGGGGAGAAGTTATCGAGATGAGGCGGACCTGGGGAGGCATTACCGAGATGAGGTGGGGACCCGGGTGGGAGTTATTGAGGTAACGTGGGACCCGGGTGGGAATTATCCAGGTGAGGTGGACCTGGGGGAGGGGGGGGGGGGAATTATCGAGATGAGGTGGGACCCAGGCGGGAGTTATCGAGGTGAGATGGACTTGGGGAGGAGGGGGGGAATTCTCGAGATGAGGTGGGACCTTGGGGGAGAAGTTATCGAGATGAGGCGGACCTGGGGAGGCATTACCGAGATGAGGTGGGGACCCGGGTGGAAGTTATTGAGGTAACGTGGGACCCGGGTGGGAATTATCCAGGTGAGGTGGACCTGGGGGAGGGGGGGGGGAATTATCGAGATGAGGTGGGACCCAGGCGGGAGTTATCGAGGTGAGGTGGGACCCTGGTGGGAGTTATCAGGTGAGGTGGACCCGGGGGAAAATTATCGAGATGAGGTGGGGCCCGGGCGGGAGTTACCGAGATGAGGTGGAACCCGGGTGGGAGTTATCGAGGTGAGATGGACTTGGGGAGGAGGGGGGGAATTCTCGAGATGAGGTGGGACCTTGGGGGGGGGGGGGATTGTGGATGTGAGGTTGGACCGTGATTCAGAGCATTCCGGTCGGCGCGGCGTGACTTCGAGCTGGAGTGCTTTGAATCGGTTTGTAATGGGGTTAGGTGCGACCCCGAGCCATATCTAGCTCAGATGAGACATGACCCTGTTCGAGTCCGCCTGAGTGACTCCTGACTCACAGCAGTGCGCACTTTAGTGATTTTATCGCACTGTGTTTGTGAGTTTTTGTAAAGTCCTGTTTATTTGTGTTGCAAATGTCTGTGATGTACACAAGCCCTTGCTTTATACAGCGAGTACGTCATTTAGGCTCTCCTGTCGGCGCGCACTTCCTCGCAGATGGTTGTTGCCGGTGCTGACTGACTCTCAGTGTCTCCCTTCAGGTGAACATTGAGCTGGGTTTCACCACCCAGCTGAGTATCCAGTCTCTGGTAGAGGGGCTGCTGCGGTGCTGACTGACTCAATGTCCCCCTTCAGGTGGATATTGAGCTGGGTTTCACCACCCAGCTGGGTATCCAGTCTCTGGTAGAGGGGCTGCTGCGGTGCTGACTGACTCTCAATGTCCCCCTTCAGGTGGATATTGAGCTGGGTTTCACCACCCAGCTGGGTATCCAGTCTCTGGTGGAGGGGCTGCTCCGGCGCTGTTGGCCTCTCGGTGACCTGGTGACCCCGTTCCCGCGCATTACCTACGCGCAGGCCATCGCGCAGTACGGCTCCGACAAGCCGGACCTTCGCTTCGGCTGGAAGGTAACCACACTGACAACACATTCAGTCATCAGGGATGTAAGACTTATGTTCTGCATTACGACATCACAGCAGCCGATGTTGTGTGCTCCTCACGGGGCTCGCGTGTAAAGTTACAGTCAGCGATGATGTCCATTGTTTTCACGCAACCCACTTCAAGCAGTCCGCTAGTGGGGCTGTTCGTTTGACGTGTTAGGTTCCCACATCGCGGGGGATATCGCTCCCGTCAAGTGTTGCGCGTCCAGGAGTTGTCTCTGCGTGACTCCTGTTCCGTGTTGGTCAGCTGACGGACGTGACGAGCACGCTGAGGGCGTGTGGCTCGGAGCTGCTGGAGCGGGAGCTGGCCGCTCCAGGCGCCGCCGCCGTCGCACTGGTCGTGCCAGATGGCAGCGTGAGTGACATATTCTTTTCGGTATGGAGTAACAGCGTCTCGCTAGGCCCGCTGCCACGGCCAGCTGTCGTGAAGAGCGCCGGCCAGGCTTCCAGAGGGCGCTGCGCACTGTCGTGTCCAGTCCCACACATCGATGACCTGTGTTCTGCCGCGGACGTTTGTCGTGGCCTGTCCGCGTGCCCGATGGCTGGCCCCAGACGTCTCCAGACGTCGGCAAGCGTTTAGTTTGCATTTGCGCCTTGCAGCCGCAGCCTACGCCTGGCTCAGCGCTGAAGGCGTTTGTGTCTGTAGGTACTTAACTTGCAACCGGTCAAATGTGCCAGTTGATTGTTCATGCAGCCTAGGAGCGATTTTTCGATACTCGAGGGCCGGTTCAATGGCACATCGCGTCTAGACTGTATCCTGCTTTCGCCTCCGCGTGTCCCCCGCCTCCCGGTCGCCGGCTCAGCTCGTCTAACCGCCGTCCCGGTCGCCGACTCAGCTGGTCTAACCGCCGTCCCGGTCCGGCAGTGCCACTTCAGCCGCTCGCTGCGCGCCCAGCACGACCGGATGGCGGCGCAGGCCGGCCTGGGCGGAGTCTCGGCGCTGCACGTGCAGCCGGACGGCGCGCTGACTGGCCCGCTGGCGCGCCGGCTCCGCCCCAACGCCTGCGCCCAGCTGACGGCGGCCGTCGGCGCGCGGCCCGGCGACGCGCTATTGGTGGCCGCCGGGCCGCGCCAGGCGGTGCGCGCGCTCATTGGTCGCCTGCGGGTGCAGATGGCCGACCGACTGGAGGCGAGCGGGGTGGCAGTGCGCCAGGCCGGCCCCCACTTGGTCTGGGTGGTGGACTTCCCGCTGTTTGTGGAGGAGGAGGGCCGTCTGGTGTCGGCGCACCACCCGTTCACCAGGCCGCACCAGGAGGACGAGCACCTGGTGCACTCCAACCCCTCGGAGGTCAGCCAAGCGCCGCCTGCGGAGAAGGCCGGGCGCGTGCTGGCGTGTACTTCGGTGGATAAGCCAGCACTGTTGTTCGGGCGATTCTTCGGAATTCTGGAAGTTGCTGCATGTATGCTGGTGTGTTTAGAGACTACCGTACCCGTAGGTGATCGGCAATTACGGAATCCTATAGTCAGCGTTATTATGTCGGTCTGGTCGACTTCACTTATAAAGTGCAAGTGATACGGAAGTCCCCATTACACACACTGCATGATAGTCATGGATGGACAAGTCTCTACAAACAAAGGATGCCGCTGCTGTTTTGCGCTGGCGCGGTCGCCCATGTCGCCACCCTTTCGATAACACGGCCGCGACACACCAGCGGAAACGTGTGTTCCCCAGGCGCGCAGTCAGCACTTTGACCTGGTGCTGGATGGCTGGGAGATCGGCGGCGGCTCGATGCGCATTCACGAGCCCGCCCTCCAGCGGCACGTTCTGGAAACTGTACTTGGCGAGGACACCGCGCCGCTGCAGCACCTGCTGGACGCGCTGGCGAGCGGCGCCCCGCCGCACGGAGGCATTGCGCTCGGTATGTCCTGGCGGCTCTTGCCAGCCGCGCCGCTCTCGCCGCTCCTGGGGGTACTTCCAGGACGAACCCGGCAAAGGAGCTGATGGATGATGGAGCGTCACATGTGGGGATGTGACGGCCGAGGTGCTAATAGGATTATACGATTTGGTTGATTGTTCTAATAGGCACAGCGTGGTGCTGATGTCTGTGTGTTCGCCCCAACATTCCACCAGAATGGCCGAAAACTGAAGTGGCGTCATGGTTGTTTGCTGGGTAGCCATCCAGCCGCGCGTCGATGCTTGATTGCGAAGATAAAACACGCAGAATGCCAGGATAACGCGCCGTGCGATGCCGCGAGGCGATCTTTTGTAGCTTGAAGCGATTTCAGAAGTGCTCCCGATTGGGTCCGTCCATACGAATGAATGACTGTCTGCATTCTTTAACCATTAGTTAGTACGTGAACTGCATGTCTTTAGATGCGTAAAAGCTATCGCAGGTACGATATTTCGTATTTTCATGGTGTTTTGTCACCCAGTTGTTCCACTGGCCCCCCACGATTTTGGCGCGTATCAATCCGTGTCATTATCTTCAACTGCTCGCCTATTTCAGGATTGGATCGCTTGGTGGCGCTGGTGTGCGGCGCGCAATCAATTCGTGACGTCATAGCCTTTCCGAAGACGTCCGACGGGCGGGACCTGATGGCTGACGCGCCCAGCGACATCTCTCGGGAAGAATACGACCTTTATCACCTGACCAAGCCAAGCTGAGAGACGCCGCCGGTGACCCACGCCAGTGTATTGCCACAGGGCGCGCGCGGTGCTACAGATGTGACAGCTTACGCCGTCTTTCGGTCTGAATGACACGCGAAAGGTTCCGATGCGCAAAATACAGCCGGCATCGTGGCGGCGAACCCGTCCTGCACTAAGACGGCAACGCTGCTGCGTCCCATTTGGGGAGGCGGCTGTCAGTTGGCGATCGTCCGTCTGGCGGGTGTCATCGCCCGATTACACACTCACGTGCCCAACACACCGCGCCATTAATCCACACGGCGGCGTTCCGATGTGCTAAAAGTGGATCGGACGCGAGCGTCCTGACCAGCACACGCGGAAATGACTCGCTGACACCCGTTCGGCGTCGCCCCGTACCGCCGGGTTGCCGTTCCACATTTCGACGACTCCAACCGCCTTCCCCGGCGGCTGTGGTGGTCCATCTGAATCGGTACCAAGGCCCTCGGCGAACGTCGCCCCGTGGTGCCGGCGCGCCACCGCCTTCGTTGTCCCGCCCGGCACGTCCGGGCACTGGTCGCACGCCCTCAGTAGTACGCGCGCCGCGGGTTGTTGAGCGGGTTGGGGCGGAACTTGTAGGCGAGCATCATGCGCTTGCGATAGGCCTCGAACTCGTCGTCCTCCTTGCTGACGTCGGCCTGGGAGCTGGCGCCGACGCCGGCCGGGTCGAGCGTGCGCTTCTGGCTGATGGGTGCCGTGATACCGCTGCCGTCCGAGCCCAGGCCGGAGCCCTCCGTCCAGCCCATCTTCTTCAGCATCTGGAAGCCCATGTTGTCCTCCTTGATGCGGAACTCGCGGTAGTCGGACATGTCGGGCTCGCGGTCCTCCTTCAGCGCGCGCCATTTCTCCATGAAGCGCTCCAGCTCGTCGGGCGGCAGGAAGTCGCCGATGTGATGCTTGCCCTCGTTCATCTGGGTCAGCTCCTCGGCCTTGGCGTGTGTCTCGGTCATCTCAGCCTGGCGCCTGCCGGACACAGTCAGGTACGTGTAAACGGCACGGGCATTTCATCGAACGCAGAGTGCCGGCGCACCACACGCCGCTGTATCCACGCCAAACATATAGACGCGTTTAGATGAGCCGACGACGCAGAGTCCCACAGCGTTCCTCTTGCAGCAACCGTGAGCAAAGGTCTACTCTCAAACGGAGCAACTTCCCATGCGCACGGAAATTGTCAGGGCCACAACGGCCACATTGTGCGGACATCCGTGCTCACATGAAACAGTCGCGTATCTCATACTGGGGATGCCAGCGCAGCACAAGCCAGCACCTCGGGCTCAAGAGGCCCGCCGGTCCTCGCACGACCACGCTGCTGCACCACCGCACCAATGGCCCCGCTCGCGCGTGACGAGCTTCATCGCGACGCCACAGTGCGGGCTTCAGGGTGTCGACCTCTTGGCACAGCGCGGTGTAACGACGGTTAGCAACACCCCGCTAAAACTGCTGGTTGCAAAAACTGGCAGACGAAGTCCCGCAGAAAGAGTGTTACGCTGATGGAGAAAACGGGAGAGCAAAATAAATTGCACATTGAGTGAGTGTTAGTAAGATAGTGAGGTTAGTAGGTAGAGCTAGTGTTACAGTTAGTAGTGTTAGTATTAGTGAGGTGCATTCATCATTGCTAAAAGGGGTTAAACTGATGTATGGCTGACGGGAATATCAGAATACCAGAAGAGCGCGTCTGATTCCAACACGCGACTTGAGTAGTAAAATTGTAATAGGCAGGTTGATGAGCTTGATCGGTCGGCAGCCACCCGTTGGCCGCAGATGGCAAAAGTACAAGCTACAAGCGAACACGCTGTGTAGCACAAGTTTGAAAACCACTGTTACAACACGCATGGGCTGATCCACCATATAGTTAGGCCACGACCGAATGTACCATGCCAGCCCACGGTAAAACTTAAAAAGAAGAAGATATTTCCGTCACCCAGGAAGGTTAATGGTTCCCTCCACCCACCACTTGAATCCAACGTCGGAAAAGCGTGCATGCACGCTTGCAAAAGCATGCACAGGGTAGCTCTTGCATCACTGAATGCATTGTGAGGTTGTTGAGTCTTCTTTCGTACCGCTTATGCATCTCACAGTGCCAAAAATACAGCACTACTTTGTCAAGCTAACGCGTATTTATTTGAGGCATATTTTATCATCCACATTACTTTACACGCTTACTTGCAACCTGTTAAATATATGTATTCACTTCTCGATGATCATCCAAGCACATGGTGATAAAACATCGTGATTGGCTGTACGAAGAATCGTACCTTACCGTACGAGAAATCGTACCAAACCCAACATATGGCCACCTGTCCTTGGCCATAATTCCAGACACTAACTGGTGCACCAATTATAGCAGATGCACCACATGCAACTAGCATCTGCATGCAACATGTAACAACAACATGCAATTAGCAAATGGCTGAACTGGTTCCAGCTAGGTGCTGTGCCAGCCCTTTTCAACCCCATCCGCTTCTATGCGACAGGGCTGCGCATTCGTCCACCATGCCTGGCCTATTTCAAGCCATGCACACCTGACAACACACCAGCTTCTCCCATCGGTACAGACACGGGCCAGACCTCTGCGGTCCGGCGTCCGGTGGCCACGGCTCGGCCGGCCACCCCCAGCACGTACCGTTTGTGCTCCCAGGTGCCACCTTCGGTCTCCTCGTCCGAGTCGTAGTCGTACTTGACCTTGCCCTTGCGCTCGAGCCGCTCGGCCTCCGCCTTCTTCTTCTGAATGTCCTGCAGCAGCACGTTCATCTGCCGGCCGCGCGCGGGCGCCGTCACCACAGGGCGCGGGCGCCGTCCTGCCCGGCGGCGGGGCGCCGGCGGCCTCGGGCGCACCGCCGCGGTGAGACTCACGCGTCCCGGACCGGGGACGCCACGTCTCGGACCAGCTCCGGGGCCGGGGGTGTCGCGTCACCGACCGGGCGAGCCGCCGTGGGCTGAGGGCCTCCCGTCCGCGACGCGACGGTCACGGCGCGCGGCGCGAGTCTCGCGCGGAGACACCCGTCCGAGTGCCAAGCGGGCGGCGCTGGGAGGTGGACACCCTGACGCGCTGCCACGCAGGTCACGTTTAACTTCAACCAACGCGCCTGAGGCCATGACTTACACTGTGCATACCCGCATGACCTTCACACGCCCGTGACATTCGGACTTTATTGGGCTGGTGTCGTCGGCCTCACCTTCATCTGGTCCTGACACTGTCTCCACTGGTCATCAGTCATCAGGTCCACGTTGCCGAACACGCGCTTGGCGTACGCTATCAGCTCCGGCGACTTGTTGACCAGCGCCACCGGGGTCACTGCAACACGCGCCCATCCACCTGCATCAGCAGTTCGACCAGCCCATACCGGCAAGCCAAGTCCGAGTCATCAACGGCTTCCAGCTGGCCGGCGGGGGTATGCACCACGGCGCTCCGCATACTGTCTTTTTTAACAGATCTGCTCGAAACTCAACGGCAGTTCGCAATCCTCGTGAAGACTCAGTGCGTCAGTGGATTACCACAGAGCGAGGTGCCTGTGTGGCACGCGCACGCGCGCGCGTGCACGTGCGTGCGTGTGTATGTGTGTGTGGTCCGTGGGGCGGCCCACCTACCCATGGGCGCCGTGACCAGGCCAGCCGGCGGCAGCGGCGCCCGGTCCTCCTCGGCGCCCCAGCGGCTGCCGCGCCGTCTCTTCCGCTCGGCGCCGTCGCCGCTGCCCGCGTCTATCGCAGCCGACAGGTCAGCACACCGAATACAGCAGCCACGCGTCAGAGCAGAGCACACCCGGGTGGAAGCGGACGCGCCGGCGCCAGGACGTGTCACTGCTCTCAACACACGCCAGACGTGTGTGGCAACTGTGTTCAAGTCAGAGCGCGGGAGGTGCCCGGCCGTAGGGCGGAGGTCGCTCCACAGGAGCCCCCTCCTCCACACACACAGGGGAGCGCGGTGACAAGCGCCACGGCTCGGTACAGAGCCCGTGCCGGAGCGCTGGCCGACGACAGTCACATAGTCACTCGACGTTCGCCTGCATGTATAGGTCAGCATGTGTTCAGCTCCATAGGCCAGGACCCCTCATTAGCTCTGGTTGCCACCAGAGTGAAGCCCGTGACCTTAGCAGTTGCAGATGTTGAATAACATAACATAAACGGAGCGCCTGACCTGGAGCCTGGATCGTGCCAGGGTAACCGCGTGTGGAACAATTTGAAAATGAGTGGTTGGTATCGGTGACATTTTCACGAGGAGATTCCAGTCATTTAGCGTAAATCTATTACGGTCTGATTTCTCGAGAGTAAATGCAGCTCCCGACTAGGAAAAAAGTAACGTTTTAACACTTCTGCTCCATAGGCGGGTTTAGCCAAGTCAGGCCGTCACACACTGCTCGCTGCACCGGACGCCAACACCGTTTTAGGCTGATGTTGGTTTTCACAAGTCAGCTTATGCTGCATGGCCATTCAGATGGTACTAACCGGTCTGAAGAAACCACGAATAGACAGAAGAAATTATGTTGATGAAAATACCACACGTACCAATTTCACAGCACCATCCGAGCAAAAATGTGCACGCATTGTGTGTAGCAATCCGATACACGCCACATAATACCAGGGACATCAGCCCGCGACAAAGAACACGCACCGTAAAATCATTACCAACCAATAACAAACCAGACTGCCACAGCCATCCCACACGCCGGCTAGGAGACGCGTCCGCCCCCGCCGACTCCTCGCTCTCCAGCGCTCACCGTCTCTGTCGGGGTGCACCGGCTCGGCCTGCGTGCGCCGCTGCTGCCCAGCGTCGCCCTCAGCCGCCGTCGCCGTCGCCGTCGCCATGGCCGTGGCCGTGGCCGTCGCTGCCGTCGCCGTCGCCGCCGCCCGCTCCCGCCACTCCGGAGCGCCAACTGCAGACGAGACTGGCGCGCGGGTGAGACACAGTGCGCGGCAGCCGCCCGGCGCGGGGCGGCGGCCGGCGGCCGGTGGGCTCGCGGCGCGCCATACGTACTGGAGCCGGACGGCGACGCGACGCCGGCGCCGCTGCGACGATCGGCCGGCGTCGGCGGTACCGCGGCCGCGTCTGCAACACGGGAGCGGCCAGTGTCAGCGGCGCAGGCGGCGCGCACCAGCGCCGTCACACCGGGACTGGGAACTCGGCTGGGGTGCGAACTGGAGATACCAGCCAGGCCGGACAGCACGGGGAGAGGGCTGGAAACGGGCGGCGGATAACCACTCAATACGGCGGGAGTGACTAAAGGGAAAGAAATAGAATACTGTGATGCCGCTATCAGCACGTATCGACGACGAATGACAAAATGAGCGGATCTGAGCAGGCGGGGGGGGGGGGGGGGGGGGGGGGCAAGAACAGATAGAGGGTTTCAATCAGACGTTCATAAGAATGAAAGCATTAGCGGTTTGTGTGATGTATAAAGCTTACAACAACTGAAACATCAGGAAAACAGTGGTGTGAGTGGCGTGCTCCTGAAATGACACACTGCATGCCGCATGTGAAGAAATGTGCTCCGCAAGTTGCGTTGCAATTCAGGGGGGGGGGGGGGGAGGGACGGCACAGAAGACACGAGCACTATAATTACGGGCCGGATTTGAGGGCCCGAAAGGTCAGCAAGAGGTCGTATTTAAGGGTCCATGCCCGCATGGCCGGGTACTCCAATACCAGCCGGAGGGCCCTGTCCGCTGATCAGGGGCGGCCCTTAGCCGATAAGGGCTTACATGTCGGTCAGACACCACCAGTAAAAAACAGCCAACTCTGTCGACACCGGCCTGAGGGCCTATTCCCCAAGCGGGGACAAAGCTGGAGCTAACAATTTAGCAATTTGTAAGGTCAGGACCGCAGCGTCTGTAAGGGCCCCACGGCTCCCGACAGGGAGCTCCGTGGTGGCAAGAGGCACCGAGTTGGCCAGTGGCAGTGTTCAAGGGGGCCCAAAATGCCTGGAAAGCCCACCAGAACCGACGAGCAAGGGCCCGATTGATTGCCCTATGGGCACGAAGGACTGGTCGGAGTCTTGTTCAGGGGCCCGGCCTCTGAGGACGGGCCCTCAAATAAACGTCAGAGGGCCTTTCGCGCCGATCGGGGACCAACAGTGGGCCGATAAGGGCCTATGTGTCGGTAAGGAGCCACCAGTACGGCGCAGTGGGCTCTGCGTCGGTATGGCCCTGGGGACCCTCTTCCCAAGCAGCCGCAAATCCGCGGCCCGCCATTTAAGGACTTTAGAGGACTGGGGACCTCTGGAACAGCGCAGACCTCTATTTTGGTCAGAGGCCACCAACACCGAATAGTGAGCTACGTGTCGGTCTGAGCCTTGAGGTTGCTGAACAGGGACAGGGGCGGGACCCCGAATGTCAGAGGGCCTCTTGAGTTGGTCGAGGTCCTCTGACAATGAAAGGAAACATGCTAACTCATGATGAGTGTTCACAATGAGAAAATGAAAAGGTTCTGTGCCAGTCACGACCCCCAATGTCGAACAGTGGGCCCTCCACCCCCTCATTGCGAGTCTCTGTGCCAATTATCAGACCACCTGCGGGGACAAGGGATCTTGTTGCGTAAGGGAGGGTTCCTGCGTCGATTCAGGGCGAGCTGCGCGAGTCAAGGGCTTCCCGCGTCAGGGACTAATGTGAAATAATGTGTCTCTCTAAGGGCCTCCAAATCTACCATGCGATCCCACCTTGTGTCGCGGATCTCGGAAGCCATGAAAGCGCTGGCCGGATTGCAGTTTGCGCAAAAACCGAACGGCGTTGGCCGGTGCAGATAACACCAGGCGATGGGCGGCGTGCGCGTGACAACCGTAATGAAATCACGTTTCCGAATGTCTCAAAATTTAAAAAAATTGTGCCGTTCGAGAGTAAGCTGGGCGTATCTTTGACATTTTTTTAGGTTGTTCTCTGGGCACCTTAGCAAATACAGTAACCCGAATAAACATTTTACCGTTTCTCTTCCAGTTCCGACGCCAGCTTCCAGCACCATTTCTCGGTGCTGTACAGGTCAGTCCGCTCTTATCAATCTAAAAACCGCGCAGGTGGAATACACACCCAGACTACCTTCTAAAAGTACGATTTGATGCCCTAAGGCGTTCAAACGTATTCGTTCTCAGACGAGTCAGCGTCCAAGCCCGCCCGTTGGCCATGGCTTAGTGTAAGCCGCGGAGCCTACGCCGCGCTTCCTATGGAAGATGAAAGCCTCGTGTCGAGGTTTTTGTTGCTAAGATTTGCCAACGCCCGTGTTTAAAACTACGTTACATAATCTTTATCACATGTTGATTCCAGCTGAATGTTGAAAATTTCACACAAACATGGTCTGGCCATGTTAATACCAATCGTTTACTCATTTCAATACATAATCGTATAATCGACTTACTATTACTAAATGTGTATAGCAGAAGTCGCGTAATGCATTATATCTTTGGTTTTGTAACTATACAATTCAGACCGTACTGATCTCGCGGAAGCTTCTAGCTTTTGTTACAGTTAGAGATGAAAAAACAAAGAAACGCATGCCCTCATTGAAAAACTGGCCACATCCGGCGACTGCGGGAGGGGGAGGGGGCCTTTCACTTCAAGGGGGGGGGGGGGGCTCCATGTCAAACCTGAGCTTCCCTTGCCAGGGCTCTGGCGGCGCCAGCTGCCATTTCACACAAAATCCAGCGAGGGTCCGCAGTGATGACAATGTGTATCTCCTGCATAATGACGCGCGCTCACGCCATGGAGATGTCAACGCTTTTCCCGGTTCAAGGAAAATCGAAACACTTACGGGCTTTTTGCATCTGCCGAAACATTTCCATAAAGCTGCCGTCATTTTCAAACGCGTTGGCAGGACTGAGCTTGGGAGCTGGAGGGGCCGATTCCGTGTTGGCAGGCCTCTTAGGCGCTGGGCGGAAGCTGTAACAGTCACATGACAATGAAAATTACAACCAGAGAAGCACGGCCATCGTGTCAGCGGCGAACCAGGCACTGACAGCTTGTGTATGGCTGTACCGATAGCCAACCACACCTTTAACTCCAACAAAACAGCTCCACACAGCTATGGAATACAAAAATAAATCTCTAGCTCCAAACAGATATGAAAAGATAAATAAATTGACAAGAGTGCAGCTATCTTTCAAAGAGCATTTCCCTGAATGCGACTTGGGTGCCATGGGTTGCGCAGTCTGCACAAAAGAATGACGCACACGAGTTCATGCCGGAGTCTGCCGCTGTCCCCGGCCAAGGAGCAGAGCAGCAGCCACTGACACCGCGCCCCCCCCCCCCCCCCCTCCCCGCTCGCACCAGTGTTGCCGCCCATGACGTCGCCCACCTCTGCTTGTGTGCCTCGAAGAGGCGCCGTGCGCTGCTGCTGGCGCTGAGGCTGGCTACCGACGGCCCATCCGCTGCCAGCGAGCCGCTGGCCGCCGAGGGTCCACCCCTGCCGGCGGCGGCAGCCGGGCCGCTCGCGCCGCCGCCGGCAGCAGCCAGTCGGCGCGCCTCGATCTCGCGCCGCTTCTGCTCGATCAGGGCCTGCTGTCGGCTCATCTCGGCTAGCTTGGCGGCCGGATTGGGTCGCGATGCCATCTTGACTGTGATGTCACTGACCAGGTGTCAGATGGCTGCCAGCAGAGCTGCTAGGCCTGAGAACAGTACACACGTGTTCCAATGCAAACAATGTGTCATGTGCTGGGTATGTATCTGAAGCAAAGGAGAGAAAATGCAAGTGGTGCAAATGCAGAGGCCATACTTGTACCCTCCTTAAAGAGGATATCCTAGTGAAACTAAGCAAGGTCTTAGTTAAGCATCTAGCAACAAATACTCTTGAGCGGCAAAGGTACGTACAAATTTACAGCATATGGTTCTGATTTCTCTGGTTAATTTATTTTTCCAGGGGTTTTCCTATCTTATGTCATGGCTTCAATGATTGCACATAAGTATTCAGCCAGCATTGGAAAAATAAGTGGTTCCTGACATAATGTATAACATGAGATTTTAGATCCCAGAATTATGGCTGGGTAAGATGAAATATTTTGTACTCAACTAAGACACAACAGCTTTTGGAAAACTATTTTTTTGCTCTGCTCATGGACAAAATCAAACTAGAAGGTGCAGCATCTTAGGACTGGCTGCTTCCATCATGAGCCATGTGTTCAGTGCTGGAAAAATATATGTTCCTTGGTATAATGTGTACCAGGAAATTTTGTATTCCAGGGCTGTGCCAGGAAAAATTAAAAAAATTGTACTCTGCTATGACACTGCAAAAACGGCTTTAAAAAAACTCATTTTACCTTTCTGTTTAAGGACAAAATGAAACCAGGGGGTACAACAGATTGGGACTTGCTGCTTCCATGATGAGCCATGTACTGATATCTGCAAGAGCATAAATCTTGCACCCGCCAGACTTAACTGTCCAATAGCAAACAGCCTGTGTTGCCACCTGGGCATACGGCAAATAACACATGGAAATGTAAAAAAATTCAGTGTGTGTCGAACGGAATCGCCTTTGAGCAATGTCGGGGAATGAAAAACGAGTAGCAGAATAGCGCTGGTCTGTAAATTAGCAAATCTCACTTTCTGCGCCCTGAGCGGACCAACCCAGAATTGAGCATGATTTAACCTACCATTAACTACTAACCGTGTTAACTGCCCAGGATGCAACGAACGGTGACAAGCACCTCACACCAAACCACCTCCCACAGGCGGCAGCCTACTCACGCTCCACCCCTCCGTCGTGGAAATGCAAACAAGATAGTGATTTAGCGTCGGAAACGTCTCAACTATTCAGTGCCTTGCGCACGCCTTCCAGCTCAAGTTGGAGATTGAACATAGGAACTTTCCAATTGGTCGGAAGGATTCACGTCCTCGTGACTGATTTGTCAAGAGCATAAATATTGCGCTTGCGCTCAAGTCTTGAACAGATTTGTAAACATTTCGAGAGCAGCTGTATAGAGATGGACATCACGGTTATCCCGAAGGACTTATTTGTACTCGTCCAGAGCCGCCCTGTGGTTGGATTTCTGGCTACTTGCTGGTATCCGGAGTACAAGAATGTAATGGCAGATGCGGTTTTAAACCAAGTTAGATTTGTCATTTGTGGGTGTGAAGTTAAAGCTGGTAATTCAAGCTTACTAAGATATCCTTTTAAGTCGAAAAACGTGGTTATAAATAGCCAAAAAGCTGTTCAGGGACAGCCATCTCACTCCGGCAAAAACACCAGGAGACCAGAGTAACAGGAGCCCATAACATGATGTGTTGATATCTACAAGGGCGCATATCCTGCACCCATAAGACTTACATGCCCATTAGCAAGCAGCCTGTGTTGCCACCCAGCTATACGACAAATGATGTAAGGAAATGTGAAAAATGAAGTGTAAGACCATTGAATGAATCGTCTTTAAACAAAGCCGGGAAATGAGAAGCGAGTAGCCAAATCGCACCAGTCTGTAAATTATAAAAGCTCTTTCTTCCTGCGCCCTATGCAGACCAACTTAAAACTGAACATGATTTAACCCGCCACTAACTACGAACCACGTTAACTGCCTAGTATGCAGCGAACGGTCAAACACCCACACCCAATCGCCTACCGCAGGCGGCCACCTACTCACGTTCCACTCCTCTGTCATGGCAACGCAAATAGGGGAAAATCGTTTGCTTTTTTAGTGGTTTCAACTTACGTTATTGGCCAAGAGAGGAAAGCGGGGCTCCCTAACTAATCCCGCACAAAAATCGGGTCATCTTAAATAAGTCCGGTGGCCATTTTAGACAGAAGAAGCACAGGAAAACCACACATATGCAATCTTGCTTTAAAAGGCTGGGCAATACGGAAAATAAGGTGAACAAGGAGTCATTCAAGATCATAATTTATTGCATATATGTGGGAAAACCCCGTGAGTAAAAGCTTGCTTACGTTGGGTGCCGGGCCGTTGCCTTTTCCCGGCAAGTTGCACTTACCACGGGGCTAAGTGGCGAATCGGGTCCCGTCAGATCTTCGTACCCAATGGCGATTGAATCACGAAGTCCAGGACAAGGTCGGTTAGAGCAGGATCATTGTCGCCTAACAGCGTTAAGAGGGTGTGGGGGAGGCGGTGTGTTAACAAGTAACTCGTGACATAGCGACGTTCCCGAGTAAGAGCAGCGCATTCAACCAATAAGTGTTCAACCGTAAGCCGGACATTACAAGTCTAGCAGACGAGTGGTGCAAAGCGACTGAATAGATGACTGTGGTTGAGACGAGTGTGGCCACATCCCAAACACACCAAAACCACTTTTCTCTGCCTGTTCTGATGACACATCGCCCGTGTTTGGAGTATGAGTTTGGTTCGATACATGTGGCTAGCATGCGAAACATCCCATTGATTCTGCAAATATCAAGCAAAACGGACTTGAGTTAAATGAAGAACATCACCTAGTGCTAGAGACACTTCCAGAGGCGTTGGTAGTCGGACACTTTCGTTCGCAAGGGTGTCGGCGGGGACATTTCCCGCGATGCCATAGTGTCTCGTTATCCACAGAAAGATCACATGTTAGTCGGTGCGTAGCGAAAGCATTATATTATGGATGTCACACACTCCTGGGTGGTTGAAATCATTGAGTCGCTGAGGGGCCAGCAGCGACGCCTTGGAGTCTGTGCATATCGTAGCCTGAGGAATACGTCTGACTCTGATATGTAACAGCTCTCGTTTTATAGCGCATACTTCCGCAGAGAACACCGTGCTGAAGCCTGGAAGGCGTCCGGTGAATCGAAGATCAGGACCGACGGCTGCTGCACCAACCTGGTCATCATGAGCAGATCCATCGGTGTGAAAGAAAACGGATTCGGCGTGCGTATTTCGGTACTCCAGGAAGGCAGACTGTGCCTCAGCAGGGAACAATTCTGATTTCTTAGATATAAATAGATACTCTATTGAGGAATGATTGCAAAGCCAGAACAGCGTTGACGGAGGGTCGCGAGCAGCACGCATTCATGGGATGTCAAAAGATCGCCGCGCCTGTTTGACAGCGTCGGACAGGAAACACGACCGCCGCCGCTGTTCTTTTTAGGGACGGTCTATTGGTATCAAGAGCAGCGCATACCGCGCGCTTCATCACACTTAAGAATTTAATAACTTTTGTCTATTTATGGGCCCTTCACTTCCGCTCGCTGGTGTTCTTGGTCGCCTGGAAGCCCACAGACGTCCAATTTTGTTGCGTTTTGTGTAAACAAGCTGGGTCTGTTCGGTCAGCTATGGGGATCCTCCGGTCCACCATGTCCCCTCCCCCTTGGCCCCCTCGAGGCCCAAGCATGGGCCATGATCCCGTGTCCCCCCTTCCCCTTGGATCCGCCCCTCCCGGGCACAAGTACTCAGGCCCGCAGACTCCGGCACCGCCGCAGGAAACCCGCTCCGTGTGGACGTTCCATGTCCCAGGCAAGGCTCCATCGGACTATCTCCGTGATCCCTTCGGCAACTTTAAAGACTATCGGTGGTTTCACGCGTTGCATGGGTTGACGCTGCATCGCGGTACAGCGCATGTTCTTTCAGAGATGTCGGCGAGCGAGACTAGTAGATTAAAGCCTTGATGACCTTTACGTCCTGTCACCTCTGAGTTGCGACGGCTGGGTGATGTACGCCTGGTCTTGGACGCTGACACAGACGCTACTTCTTCCGCTGGGAGCCACGGCTGGGTGATGTACGCCTGGTCTCGGACGCTGACACAGACGCTACTTCTTCCGCTGGGAGCCACGGCTGGATGATGTACGCCTGGTCTCGGACGCTGACACAGACGTCACTTCTCCCGCTGGGAGCCACGGCTGGATGATGTACGCCTGGTCTCGGACGCTGACACAGACGTCACTTCTCCCGCTGGGAGCCACGGCTGGATGATGTACGCCTGGGCTCGGACGCTGACACAGACGTCACTTCTCCCGCTGGGAGCCACGGCTGGATGATGTACGCCTGGTCTCGGACGCTGACACAGACGCCACTTCTCCCGCTGGGAGCCACGGCTGGGTGATGTACGCCTGGTCTCGGACGCTGACGCAGACGCCACTTCTTCCGCTGGGAGCCACGGCTGGGTGATGTACGCCTGGTCTCGGACGCTGACACAGACGCTACTTCTTCCGCTGGGAGCCACGGCTGGATGATGTACGCCTGGGCTCGGACGCTGACACAGACGTCACTTCTCCCGCTGGGAGCCACGGCTGGATGATGTACGCCTGGTCTCGGACGCTGACACAGACGTCACTTCTCCCGCTGGGAGCCACGGCTGGATGATGTACGCCTGGTCTCGGACGCTGACACAGACGCCACTTCTCCCGCTGGGAGCCACGGGGTCGAGCATGTGCCACTGCTCATGCCAGTGACGCGGCAGACATTGTGACGCTTCCCACTCAGTTGACTCAAACGCGCCTGCACGGTTGAAGGGCTTGAGGCATGCCGGCGAGTTGAACGTGCCACTGCATTAATCCCAGAGTGGCGACCATGTAGTCTCCGCCTGACGCCGAACTGAACCCGACAGCACGGCGCAAGAGACTACGGCCTCAAAGCGCGGTACTACCGAAGGCGACGCGCGGAGCTGGAGAAAGGGCGACGCCTATTGACTACAGCTGCTGTCCGGTGTGAGGCTCACGTATCAGGGGCGGGAGGAAGAGGATCCGTGAACGATTCGCTCTCGCCAAGATCTGACTTTTACCCTATCGTGATGGATGGAGAGCATTACACTGCTGATGCGTATTTTGATGTCTGTCGTGCTGCGGAGATGGACGTTACTGGTTCTGACCTAATTTGGATGTTTATCATCATACGACAATAAGGAGGCGGGCTTCAGTTCCCGGACCGGAGACAGCGTAGGGAGCAATACGGGGGTTATGTTTGACGTTATGCAGCTGGATAAGTCAGATGCATCGCGACACAGGCTTCTTGGGACTTTGGAACACGCACAGATGTTTGCGAAGGCCTTCCCAATAACTGGAAGTATCTCAAAACAGTGTTCCAAGCTGTTTGTGTGACGTGTTTTGAACGCCCCCTCCCCCCCCCCCCCCCCACTGGTTCAGCACCAAATGCTAAAAATGGGTAAGATGTCTGAAACCAGCGCGAATGAAATGCTTACAAATGGCAAATGGTCTGTCATGGCCTACGTAATAAAGAACGATCTTGTCATCATTTCGTATCAAATGCATCGTTTAAGTTGGTCCATGTTGGCAGAAGCCCCACCAATATAAGGAACCAGATATGATATCTTAAGCCCATTTTCATCTCCATCATCTTGGAAAATATGCGTTGAGCCATTCAACAAATGTTGATGCCTTATTGGCATCCAGCGCCAATAGATGAACCACAGTTGGCTTTTTTTATCTAGGAAAGGTTTCAACTGTTAAACACTGCTACATTTAAAGCGGAACTGGAGCCAACCACTTTTGTGATTTTTTAAGCGTTTAGTCCAAGCCCTTTGATTGGACAGATTTCCGGGATAGACTCCAGCCTTTTGATTGGACGGATTTCCGGGATGCCCAGCTGAGCGGCACTTGTCGCGTGGAACCTGATTCAAACATCCGCTCGGCATGGTCCTCATATCCCCCCCCCCCCCCCTTATGTCATCGGACCTTTAGCGTGGCCGCTGCCACCAGCCGCAGGCCATGCCAGTCAGGGACAAATAACGCGCGATTGGAGCGCTTTCAACCTACCTCACCACAGGTGGGAGAATCTTAAGG